CCGGGCCCTGGCCCAGCCCAGAGGAGGCTGCAGTGATGAACAGCTGTGGGCCCCTGGCGTGGCGGCGGTATCGGGGGGTGGGAAGTGTGAAGTCCAGCTCCTCCCGGGTCCAGAACCAGCCCCAGATGGCCTGCAGGACCCGGCGTGAACCGGGCCCCCCAGCAGCCCCGGCACGGGCTGGGTCTTCACGAGACCGGAACGAGACGTCGCAGACCCGTCGGCGGCCGCGGTCCAGCCCTGGGGCCCCGCGGTCGGGCCCCCGCGGTCAGGCCGATGCCCAGGAGGACAGCTGCAGGGAGTGACGATTCTGTGAGCCTCCAGCAGGTGGCGCTGTTCTCTGCTTTCACAGTGGCTGACAGCCGCAGGGCCGAGTCCTGCCTGTGGGGGGGGCTGTTAGCTGTTCTCACGGTGAACAGAACCGGCAGGCAGTTCGGTACCCGGGGGCTCCCCAGCTCCGGCGGTGGGGACCCGCACACCTGCTGGGTTTCCTCTCGCATGCGCTCGTGAATTAACCCGAACAGTCATCTCTCTGACGGGTTGCTGGACTGAAAGCAAAGCTGTTTCTCCTGCTGGAAAGCTGGAGATCTTGAGTACTCGCACAGGGCAGGTACACGGCGACCTCAGACATGTTCAGGTGCCACAAACCATGAGGGTTCAAATTAATCCTGTAATTGAGACCAATTAAGGCTTTAATTATGTAACAGAGCTGGGCTGAAAGTAAAATTGGGGTGGGGCTGCACACTGGTGGGGGTGGAGGGGATCCCCATGACCTGTAAAGAGCTTTGAGTGGAGTGTCCAGAAAAGCGCTATATAAGTGTAAAGAATTATTATTATTATTATTAAAAGCAGCCCGTGTGGGGGTTCCCAGTGCTTGCACCAGCAGGACTCGCTGTTACAGTGTGTCTATTTAAGTTTTTAATTAGCTGCTTGTGTCAGCAGGTCTCTTGCTCGTGTGCAAGGTCTGTAGATACTGATAGGAGAGGTTGGGCAGTGTGCCTTATCTCTATACTTCTCAGGGTGTTGAAAACGATTCATGACAACTGAATTTGCATCATCAACGCTGGGTACGATCCAGGCTAAGATCCGGATTTAGGTTTTGTAACTCAGAATTAATGTACACTTGCGCCTGGTGATTATCACACGTTGGTCTATAAACACTTTATGAATGTCCCTCCTGTTAAAACAGCAGTGGTTCTTTCACGGGCGCCTGCAGAACTGTTTCTGAGGGCCCTGTGTCTTCAGCCCCAGGAGAGGTTTCCAGAGCTGCTTCTGTGTGAGAGCTGTAGCCCTGGGGCTGTCAGGTGTGTCCGTTTCCACACACCTGGGAGAGACACGTGGCTCGAGCGCTGGTTTATCCTCTTCTGTGTTATTGCTGGTCACGGACTCTGACCCCGCTGGATCTAGGCTGCAGTCTTGCCTTGGCCTTTAGGGGGAGCCAGAGCCCAGGCTCGGGGTTTAGATCCGGGCCCTCATGCCTGTGGCGGGCTATGGGTAGAGACTGTAGACTCGTGCCCCGTCTTGTTAACAAACCCACAGACTCTCGGCTGTCACAGAGTGCTGACTTATCTAGCTCAGAGAATTCCCCATCGCCTTTGTGGGACTCCACTGAGTGACCAGCGGAGATCTGATCTAGTGTAGCAGGTACAAACCAGACAGACCGACAAGAATGCAGTCCCAAATTCTCGTTGGACAGCCCCCAGGTCGTTTTGGCACCTTCATCGTTTTCGGTGTGTTTGATTTTGCCTTGAGTTTCAAATGCATCAGGTGGTCAATTTAATGAGCTGAAGCAGTGCAGCGCTGGCGTGGGGGCTGCCCTCCCAGAGTGAGTGTTGCTCAGCTGCACAGATGCACATATTCCAGCACCCAACGCTGAATCAAGAGGCAGTCGGCCAGCACAGACTGCTCTGCGGAAACTGCATGTCCTGTTTTACCCCTGCTCACCCCTGCCCTGGCTCAGAGAGCTGTGTGCCGATGAGTACCTGCAGTCCTGCCCTGAAGGCCGGGTGTCTGTGCTGGGTGGCGGGAGGGGTGTACAGACAGCGGCCGATGTGGACAGCACGCCCATGCAAACTCCACACAGCTGTGCCCAGATTCCCACTGGGCACCCTCTGGAGTTGCTCACGATGTTTATTCCTGAAGAATAGCTGATGGGAATTCTCTCTTTCGTTAAACCTTGACATGGTGCCAGAACTGTTTTCTCGTTTGCGTGTGCAAGGTAGACCAGTAAGCCCGTGCGTGCGTTGAGCTGACAAAGTATTTTGATCAGATCAGATCACTCCCGGCGGTAGCAGGAGGAGCCCGGAGAGGTTCGGTTCTGCCTGGGGGCTCGCTGGCCCGGAGCGCCCCGCGCACTGCTGGACGACACTGACGAGCCTGTCTGGACCGCCAGGCGGCTCGATGCCGGGCCTCGCAGGACCAGAAGCTCCCCGTGCTTCAGTATATCGAGGGCGCCCACCCCACGCGCCCCGCCACTGCCAGCAGCACCAAGAAACAACGTCGCTGCGAAGACATTTCGACCGCTTTCGCCCTGAATCTCTCAGTGTGCGTCCGTCACTGGGGGCTCGGCACAGAGCGCATCGACCCACCTGATGAAACAAAAGTAAAATCACTGTCTGTCCTCATCGCGTCGAGCGAGTGAGACATTTCTCCCGTTAAGGTTCTGTAACTCAGCGGTCCTGCCAATAAAGCTCTCCGAGTTTGAATTTGAGTGCGCGAGGGAGGGGCAGTGAACTTCCCCGTGACCAGGGTGTCACGTGGGGGGGGGGGCGTCTTCTATCCCAGAGCTGCCGCTGTGGAGCCGACAGCCGGTGTGCATTGCGGGGGTCTTCGGAAGACCAAACAAGAAACTGTTTGTCTCCCCATCAAACATGTTGAGCAGTATTCAAGCAGAAGAGTTTGCGAGTGTGTCTGTGAATGTGTGTGAGTTTGCGAGTACTTAAAAGAGTATATATGAACACATCTCATTAAGTTTAGACAAGG